AGTCACACGAAGTGCACACTTCCCAAATGATTTAGAAGACTTAGAGAGAGGAGGGATTCGTAGCAATTTTATATACAATTCAAATAATATCAAAGCGATAAAAAGCGGCATTTAGCACATTAGGCCTAAATATGTAAAAATCAGATAAATAAACAAATCCAAGTATAATAGTTATTCTAAGCTCGAATTCTTGAACCCTGAACCAGAGATTCTGGGTTCGGTTCCCCAGCAGAGTCGCCAGAGCTGTCACACCTCCTTTTTCCTACACCCCAAATTATCCTAGAAAATTAAATTAATTAACCTAATAATTATTACAACTAATTAAAAACCAAATTAAAGGAAAATCAACAATATTCAAATATAAAAATTGAATAATGCAAAATAAACTATATTTTTGTGATTTTTCTATTTATTTTTGTAAAGCAGATAAATTACTAACTGATTTAAAAATACAAATGCAACATATTTTTTTGTATTTTCAAGATTATGTAAAAATAAAAATAAGGTACTATTTTGGTATATTTTTATTTAAATTTATGTAAGATACGTAAGCCAATTTTTTCTTTTTTGTAATTTTTCATTTTTATGACTAAAATAAAGTAAAGAAGTCAAATTTAGTTGGAATAGCTATATTAGGCCTACATTAAATATTTATATTCTAAAATATAAAAAATCTTGGGGATGGTAAAAAATCACATGTCTACAATGGCGCCTATTGTGAAACTAGGTCAGCTGACACAACTCTTGAATTAACCATTTAATCAATAATAATCATTTTTTTGCCTTTAATTAATCACATATTTGATAATGTAAGTCTAAATGAACAGTGCAGAATAAATACACAAGCCCGACATCGGGATATCACAAGTCACGAGCATCTACTAAGGTCTGAATACAATGAAGAGTCTGAATATATGCTAAAACAATCTAAGGAAGAGAAGAGGGAGAAGAGCAGGGCTGCGAATGTCGGGTAGATACCTTGCTAACTCCGATGACTCTGCCACTGAACAACCAACACTCGCTATCGGGTTCGGAAATACCTAAATATGCACACACAGTGCAAGGAGTAATGTGAGTACGCCAACTCATTAAGTAATAAATGTAAAGTTGCGCAGCAAGAAAACACGAAAACCACGTCAAAACGCTACAACAAATGCAGGATATTTCCAACATAGTACATAAACCATTTATTTCGTAAATCATGCTCAGTTTCGGTAAAACCTTTTAAAATAATTTTCAATAGTTTCAAATGAGTGATAAAACAGTGAGTAAACATTATAAAAATGTAGACAGCCCCCTAGACAAAACATGTACCATAAACCACCCCTCGTACACAATATCAACAGAACTAGCCCCTCGGGCTACCTCACAATCACTCGTAATCAGCCCCTCAGGCATAACATAAATCAAGAACCGCCCCTCGGGCAAAAAATAGATTAAGAACAGCCCCTCGGGCAATAATATGAAACAACAATATCCCATCAGGCTACATTATATCACTCACACTGGGTACCCGCACTCACTAGTGGTGTCCAGACTCCGGGAGTGGCCTCTTACGACCCAAGCGTAATAATAAGTCATCTCGTGGCATAATCAAATAGGCTCTCGGCCTCATATCAAGCCACCTCGTGGTGTAACAAATCAGGCCCTTGGCCTCATAATCATAAATCAGTACCTCACTGCTGCAGCGCGCAACCCGATCCCATAATATCCACACAATACAGGCACTCGGCCTCACTCAGTCAAAAATTTCTCAAGCCACTCGGGCAATAGTAAAAACATCATACTCAGCTCAAATGTCATTTAAAATGTTAAAATGGAGTAAATATGGCCGAGTTATGAAAACAATATAATATAGCATGACTGAGTACAAATATGAAGTCAAAACAGTGAGGAATAGTAGTAAAAATCCCCTAAGGGTCCAAAATAATTGGCACGAGGCCCAAATATGGCATTCAGCCCAAAATATAATAAAAAAATAATTTTCAATGAAATACGCGACTTAACAGTCATGCGGGACAGACTAAGTTACAATCCCCAACAGTGCACGACCTCACGCTCGTCATCTAGCATGTGTGTCACCTCAAAGTAGCACAACGATGTGAAATTCGGGGTTTCATACCCTTAGGACAAACATTTACAATCATTACTTACCTCAATCCGGTCCAAAATCTATTCCAGGATGCCTTTCCCTCTCGACTCGGCCTTGGAATGCTCAAATCTAGCTAAAAGCAGATTCATAACATCAAAATATGCTAAGGGAACAAAGCACACTCGAATATATCCAATTTACATAAAAAATCCCGAAATTGGCCAAACCCGACCCCCGATCTCACGTCTCGAAATTCGATAAAACCCACAAAACTAAAATTCTTATTCCCTCACGAGTCTATACATACCAAAATCATCAAAATTCAACATCAAATGCCCATTCAAATCCCCAAAAGAATTCTTAAATTTTTCTTCCATTCTTCCCTAATTTTCACTCTAATTTCTGAAATTAAATGATGAAATTAAAGACTAAATCATGGAATTAAAATACGAGTGAAGAATACTTACCCCAGTTGCTCCATAGAAAATCTCCTCCAATTTCACCTTCTCCCGAGCTCGCTAATGGTGTTTGTGATATTGGACTTAAACCCTCGATTTCCAAGTAAAATCTGCCTGCACAGATATTTTCTTCATCGCAAACGCGGCAGCACCCTCGCGTTCGCGAAGCAAAAAACTTCACTGACCAAAATTCTTCTACGCGAACACGAGGAACCTCTCGCGAACGCAATGCACAACGGCCTCACCTCTTCGCGAACGCGACCTCTACTATGCGAATGCGTAGAACATATGTCATGGGATCCCAGCTATTCCACTTCCTCTACGCGAAGGTGGCATAAACCTCGCGAATGTTGTGGCCACTGACCTCAGCCCTTCGCGAACGCGAAAGCCAACTCTACAGCCTCACATCCTAACCCTTCGCGAACGCGGGACATCCATCGTGACGCGAAGGTCAAAAACTTGCAACACCAACAATAGTTTTTTTGCAATTTCCTACAACATGAAATGATCCGTTCAACCACCCGAAACTCACCTGAGGCCCTCGGGACCTCAATCAAACATACCAACATATCCCATAACCTCATTCAAACTTGTTCCAACCTTCGGAACTCTCAAAATAATACTAAAACACCAAAATTACATCGGATTCAAGCCTAAGAATTCCAAAAACTTCCAAATTCCGCTTTCGATCAAAAAGTCTATCAAACCTCATCCGAATGACTTGAAATTTTTCACACACATCAAAAATGACATAACAGACCTACTCCAACTTCCAAAGTTCCATTCTGACCCTTGTATCAAAATCTCACCTATCAACCGGAAATCGCCAAAATTCCAATTTCGCCAATTCAAGCCTAAATCTACTCCGGACCTACAAAACACATTTTGATCATGCTCCTAAGTACCAAATCATCTAACGGAGCAAACCAAATCATAAAAATTCAATTCCAAAATCATATACTAACAAGTCAAAACTTGGTCAAACCTTTCAAATTTTAAGCTTCAAACTGAGAACTGTTCTTCCAAATCCACTCTGATTACCCTGAAAACCAAAACTGACGATTTACATAAGTCATAATACATCATACAGGGCTAGTCATGCCCGAGAACTGACGAGCGAAGCGCAAAAGTTCAAAAAGACTGGTTTGGGTCGTCACAAAAATGCTATTGAAAATATTAATAGGGATTGTTCGAAGCTTTAAAAGCATATCAAAAACATGATGGCGATATATTGTGGTTTCGACCTGAGGAAAATACAATACTATTGAACATGGGTGCTGAAAACATGTGTATGCCTTCACCATCTACTGAACAGTTTGTGTAAGCAGTGAAAGCCATTATTTTATCAAAAGAAAGATGGGTAATGTGTTACTTCTCTTCAATTAAAAATATCCTCTAGCTAGATCCCTCACCATAGTCTTAGGTTCGAGAAATATGCACTCATTTCAAACTTGGTGAACTATTCCTTGAGTGACTCATATGCCCACTAAATCTTTTTTTCTTTGCTTATTTCAGATTCCTCCTCCAGAAAAAATTCAGTTATTTCACTGTTTACACTGGTATTATTTACTGTCGATGATAAAGTTTGGACGACTATTTCATATTAGCTTACTCGCAGCATCAATAAATGAATACGTGGAATCCTTTTTCTTCTTTGCATTTTGCACTTTGCACTTTACACACTTTGGTGGATTATTCTTGCAATTTAACGTGACTTTGTGCCTAGGAGATAATGACACCAAGGAAAACTATACTTTTCACTAACAAAGATTTGGCACAAAGATTATATCTTTTAACTGTTCTACTATGGAAAACTTTAAGGAACAATCAATCTTCTTACTGATTATAGTATTTCCGATTCTGCACACCAGCTGGTATCAAGATGTGTCTAGTGCTATGCATATGCCACCGACTCAGTGAATAACATTTGTATATTTTGCTAAAAATATTTGGAAGTATTATACTAACCCTGCAGAATTCTTGCATATAACCTTTTATTAGCATGATTATTTTAGTGTCTTTATTGAAAAATACTGTAGAAATGATTGTAATACTTACACTTTATTCAATTTGTTTAACTAAATAACATCTTCTGCTTTATCAACTATATTTCTTATGGTCTACTCTCACTGTCTTTTTCACAATAGGAAGCAGTAGTTTATTCTTTCCTTGCTGAATTTTCTTTAGAATCCACTCTGCGCCATGAACCTACATCAACTTCTTAAAACAATTGATGTAAAGATAAAAATAAAGTCAGCTTCCCGGTCATCTAAGCTTCGAGAAAAGGTAACATCTTCCTTTATGTTGGAGACTGGGAAAAACTATTGAAGAGATGCTCATCTTTGTGACTAATCATATACTTTTTTTGGCAGAATTCTATCAATGTCGTGACTCTTAAAGACTTGATCGTTCAAAGGAGAATTGCATCTTTGAATGGAAAATCTATAATTTATAAATGATATTACTTTATTTACCCAATTATCATATCCTCCCACATGCAAGCTTGTACTCATACATTGTTGCTACTTAAGAACTCTCCCGTTAAATTGCACTTGCGATGTCACTTCAAAGTGGATCTATATATATTAAAATATAGACGCATTTGTCTAGGAACATTCATGTCACTGATGCATTCCTCCTACTCAACTGGTGTTAGGAGCTTCATTCCATCCTGTTTTGGCACACTGTTGATAATTGGGAGCTTCTTCCCTTACTCATTTGGAGTTTACATTCCAGTGGCACATTGAAACATTCCTGCATATTCAAATTTTATACTGGTTACATGTGTTTGTTTAAGTGTATAAATGGAATATTCAATGTGCTTTCATTAATTTGTTCACTTTCTTTTGTGATTTAGTTTGCAGACATTGAGTTTAATTTTTCCCTTTATATCAAAATTGTTTTCTTTTTTTTGGTTGTTCCATAGCTCTTTCATTATCATTGATCATTTGTACATACCTGGTTTTGCAGCTTCTTGATGGATTTTCAAACGGATATGATTAATCTGTCACTCCTTTAGCTTTACATTCATAGAACATCACGTTCTTGAGCCTTGAGCTTTAACCCTTCAATCTCTTCCAATTTCCCCCAATTTTCAACTTCCAATACAATCAAAATAATGAGTTGAATTTCATCCCTTTTTTGCTTTTATTGCAGCTTTTAATTGCACTCTTATTTTTGTTGTTTTATTTTTTCTTGGTGCGTGTGTGTGTGTGTGTTTTAGTAGAAATTCTTTTTAACGGGTTTAGTTTTTGATTTGTGATTGATCTGAAAAGATAAGCTATCTAGGTTTTGGCAAGATGATCTTTATGGAGTTTCTGTGATTTCTTGGTGTGTGTGTGTGTGTGTTTAAGTAGAAAGATTTTGTTAATTGGTTTGATTTTTTATCTGTGATTCATCTGATAAGATAATTTATATGTGTCTTTGGCTTAAACACTGATCTTTGTGGAATTTTTGTGTTTTCATGGTGTGTGTGTAATGGGTTTAGTTTTGATCTGATAAGATAAGCCATATGTGTTTTAGCTAAAAGAGTGATCTTTATGGAAATTTTGTGTTTGTTTGTTTGTTTGTTTTGTTTTTTCTTGGTGATCTGGCAGGACAACAATTTTAATATAATTCGAAATGCTCTCTGCATTCGAGTGAAAATGAAGGGGCTAAAGTCTGACCAGAAAGTCTTGAGGAGCTCCTTACACAATCTACTGCCTTTGAAAGTATATTCAATTCCCGAAAAAACCAAGGGTTCAACATGTGGAAGGAGAGAACATATCTAATGGAATTCCTTCAAATGCCTTATTTGAGGTCCGAGTTGATTCTTCTGGTACTCTTTCGGACTAGTTGAAAGATAGTATTATATCTTGTGATAGTAATTCTAATTTTTACCATGTTACACATATCTGTATCAGCAGATGTTACTACAAACCCATACATTTTTTGGGTAACATATTTGTGGCCTTTTATATCTCTTCTGAGTACAGCTTAGTAATAGCTATGTAGTCTTCTATTTCTCTACAAAAGTTTAGTGTAACGACCCAGCCGATCATTTTGAGAGTCACTACCCTATTTCCCCATTTTTCTGCTTCTTTTGTGTTCTTCAGCTGCATTATGGATTAGTTAGTTCTAATTTGGAATGGTTTCGGAGTGAATTGAGAAACATAGTCTCTTAATTGGAAGCTTAAGTTGGAAAGTTGATTAGAAGTTGACTTATGTGTAAATGACCTCGAATTTGAATTTTGATGGTTCTATTAGCTCCGTTAGGTAATTTTGGACTTAGAAGCACGTCTGAAATGTAATTTTGAGGTCCGTGGTAGAATTAGGCTTGAGTTGGCGAAAGCTAGAATTTTTGCAATTTTGGCCTGCAGTGGAAATTTTAAAATTAGGGCCAAATTTGATTTCCGAAAGTTGGAGTAGGTTTATGGTGTTATTTTCGACTTCTGTGCAAAATTTGAGGCCATTCGGACGTGGTTTGATAGGTTTCAGCATCGTTTGTGAAATTTGGAAGTTTAGAAATTCTTAGGCTTGAATCAGGGGGTAATTAGTGTGTTGATGTTGTTTTGAGTGATTCACAGGTTCGACTAAGTTTGTATGATGTTACTGGATGTGGTGGTATGTTTGGTTAAGGTCCTGAGGGCCTCGGGTGAGTTTCGGGTGGTTAACAGATCATTTTTGGCCCTAGAGTGTTAGCTGATGTCTGCTGTTGTATTTTTTCTGGTTTCCTTAGACGCGATCGCATGAGTTCATCCGCGATTGCGTAAGCTTATTTGGGGAAAATGTGAGTTTTCTCTATGCTATCGCATAGCTTGATATGTGATCGTGTACCCGTATGAAGATGTGCTTCGCGAATGCATGGCCAATGTCGCGCTCACGTAAAAGTAATCGAGCTGATGATGAGGTGACGTAATTACTCTATGTGATCGCATAGGTTTGAGAGGGTGTGATTCGCGATCGTATGGAGCTGGACGCATTCGCGTAGGGTTAAAATTTAGGGCAGTCTGTTTGTGCTTCGCAATCGCGAGGCTATTCCCGCGATCGCGGTGAAGGATATCTGGGCAGCAATGTTAAATTTCAAAATCGAAGGTTTAAATTCATTTTTCATATTTTGAGCTAGAGACCACGGATTTGGGCAATTTTTGAAGGTATTTTCAGAGAGTTGATTGGGTTAAGTGTTTCTCACTTGGCTTAGTGACTCTATCCGTTGATATCTATGTTTCATCATGTGATTAAGTAGTTGAGCTATAAATCATGCTAGATATCATGTTTAGACTTTGTACCGGTATTGTTTGGATCCTTAGCGGTCGTTTCTTGCTACGATCTCACTAGCTTTCATTTAATATTCCATACCCACTCATGATCATGCATTTTTATATCATATCTCAGTCTCTGTTATTTATTGATTCATCATATCATTATTCTAGGTTGTTTCCATGACATTATGAGCCTGTGGTGAGACTAGAGAGGTTGATGACTGAGTGAGGCCGAGAGCCTGGTTATGAGTGACATTTATGGGATCGGGTTGCACGCCGCAGCAGTTATATTGATGATTATGATAGCACTTGGGCTACAGGATCCCTCTAGAGTTTGTAACACACCCCCTATAAACGCGGATGATATTATTGAGGGATGTATTTTCCTAGATATGGATTTGTCCGAATTACTTGATACATGGAGATGGATTTCTCCACAGGGTTGGATTTTCCTTTTGTCCTTAGTACTGGGTGACTTACAATCAGTGTTATATATGTTCCGGAATAGATTTCCCTAGGCCGGATGGCTATATACAGTACTGAGTGGTTGAGCACTTAAGAGTGGGAGCACATGGTGTATACATACAGTCTGTGTATTGGCATGTAGAGATAGCGGAACTGTATAATTTAGACTGTTTATATCTGTATTTACCTTATTGCTTTGAGCTGTCTATTTTACTTGAAAGCATACATATGTTTCTACACATTAATCTGTCATATCTGTTGAGGTTGATTTTGTCACTACCTTTCAGTCAAAAGTTTGGACTTTTTACTTACTGAGTTGGTGTACTCACGTTACCTCTGCAACTCGTGTGCAGATCCAGACAACTCTGTTCACGACGGCGGTTGTTGATTGAGCATTTCTAGAGTTTGGAGACTATCGAGGTAGTGTGACGACCCGACCCATTGTCTTAAGAATTAATACCCCAATCCCCTATTAACTACTTCCCCCGAGTTTATTTCTGCTATTTTGATTTTCCGAGATGTTCATTTTTAAGTTTTGGAGAGTTTTGGGACACTTAGTCCCTAAATGAGAGCTTAAGTGTTGGAAAATTGATCGTAGTCGAAACTGTGTGAAGACAAACACAAAATGGAAATTCGGTGGTTCCTTTTAGTTCTATTGGGTGATTTCGGGGTTAGGAGCGTATTCAGATTGTGTTTTAAAGGTCTGTAGCTAATTTAGGCTTGAAATGCCGAAAGTTAAATTTTGGAAGTTTCCAGTTCGATAGTGAGATTTTGATCCGATGGTCGGAATGGAATTCTGAGAGTTGCAGTAGTTCTGTTATGTCATTTAGGACATGTGTGCAAAATTTTAGGTAATTCGGAGGTGGTTTGGTTGGGTTTTTGATCAAAAACGTAATTCAGAAGATTTTGAAAAGCTTAGGCTTGAATCCGATGTGTTTTGGTTGATTTGATGTCGCTTGAGGTATTTTGAAGATTTGTACAAGTTTGAATAAGGTTTGAGGATATGTTGGTGCCTTTGGTTGAGGTCCCGGGGGCCTCGGGTGTGTTTCGGATGATCAACGGATCATTTTTAGTTGTTAAAAAAGTTGCAGAATTGCAGGTTCAGCTGTTGCAGATATTTACTCTTCACGTTCGCGAGTGGACTCTCACGTTCGCGAAGATTCAGTGGAGGTTAGTGAAATTTTAGTCTTCGCGTTCCCGAGGAATACTCCGCGTTCGCGAAGGGCTGGATACTTGTGAACTGCATAGGAGGAAAATTGGCCCAGTAGAATTTACTCATCGCGTTCGCGATGAGAGGAACGCGTTCACGAAGGCTTGTCTAGGTAAATCATCACGTTCGCGAGGGCCTTGTCACGTTCGCGTAAGAGGAATATTGGTCAACGTCATTTTTGTGCTTCGCAAACGCGAGGTCTTGACTGCGTTCGCGGAGAAGGAATTAAATGCCTAGACAGAATGTTTTAAAAGGTTTATTTCGTGAATTTTAGCCTAGGTTCCTCCATTGTTAGGGGATTTTGAAGCTTTTTGAAGAGGGTTGAAGAGCGATTCAAAGGGAATCACTTGGAGGTAACATTTTTGACTTCATAACTCGTTTTTATGTGATTAAGGACCTAATTAGTGGTGACAAATTTGGAAAAAATGGGTAATTATGGCTTGAGTTTGAGAGACGTTTAAATGAGGATTTGAGGGGTCATTTGGACTCCGATTTTAGTGTTCTTGTTATGTATAGACTCGTGAGAGTACGAGGTTTCTGAAAATGTAAATTTCACCCAATTCTAAGATGCGGGCCCGAGGGGCATTTTGGTTATTTTTCATAATTTCATGTATTAGCTTAGACTTTAATTGTAGAATCAGTTACTTGAAGTGTTATTTACATTATAAAATTGAATTGAGTAGATTTGGGCCATTTGGAGTCGATTACTCATGGCAAGGGCGTGGTTTCGGATTGATTTTTTAGTCGGTTCGAGGTAAGTGGCTTGTCTAACCTTGTGTGGGGGACTTTCCCCTTAGGATTAGTATATTTGGTAATTGAAATGCCTTGTACGTGAGGTGACGAGTGCGTACTTGTGCTAATTGTTGGAAATCCGATTTTCTTTAAGTAATTACTAGTATGTTTCCTTTTCTATTTCTATTACTAGCACTATTAAGCATGTTGTTAGTTTAGGAAAGCATGTCTAAGTGACTTAATTGTCTTATTTGCTCAACATGCCTTACTTGAATTTTGTGCAGCATGCTAGGCTAGAATCACTTATTGCCTTAATATGAAATTTTGCTATTTCTATATATCTTCCTGCTGCTGCTGTGTATTTATTTTAGGACTACGGATGTGGGATTCCGGTAGCTCCCCTTATCTGTTTACTTTGGGACTACGGGTTCGATTCCCGGTAGATCCCCCTGCACATTTATTTTGAGACTAAGGGTTAGATTCTAGGTAGATCCCCCCCCCCCC